TAGATAGATAAGCTGAGAGATGGATAATGTGATATGAAGCTCTCCCCTAAATGGTCTCATCTGATTTTGTGCATTCCAGAATGGTGACGCTGTCCAGTTAATGTGAAAGATGGCATTCATCTAGAGCTCCAATATGCTAGTTGAATACCCATTTGGACTGACAGGGATACACACCCTTGGTTGAAAGACATTGAGGGAAACCCTTCAGATGAATGTGGATTTGGTCTAGCCTACTCATCCATTGGGTTTTGTTGTTGGTTGGAAGCTGGCAGAGTGGCAGGACTGGTCGATCTCACAAAAGCAGCCTTGTTGGCAGCCTGGAACACTCGCAGCTCATCCCTGGCCTGGTCTGCATTGAGAGAAATGCCGTTGCTCCCTCCACTCCAGCCTCACAACACACTGCATTCTGTCCCCCAACAGCCAGTCCTCCAGTCACAATGAGGATCAAGGGGGGACAAATGAGGATGAGATTGCTCGACGCTCCAGTGTTTTCTGCTCTGTGCCTGCTGTGATTGCAGGACGCTCCAGTGTTTTCTGCTCTGTGCCTGATGTGATTGCAGGACGCTCCAGTGTTTTCTGCTCTGTGCCTGCTGTGATTGCAGGATGCTCCAGTGTTTTCTGCTCTGTGCCTGATGTGATTGCAGGATGCTCCAGTGTTTTCTGCTCTGTGCCTGATGTGATTGCAGGATGCTCCAGTGTTTTCTGCTCTGTGCCTGCTGTGATTGCAGGATGCTCCAGTGTTTTCTGCTCTGTGCCTGATGTGATTGCAGGATGCTCCAGTGTTTTCTGCTCTGTGCCTGCTGTGATTGCAGGATGCTCCAGTGTTTTCTGCTCTGTGCCTGCTGTGATTGCAGGATGCTCCAGTGTTTTCTGCTCTGTGCCTGATGTGATTGCAGGATGCTCCAGTGTTTTCTGCTCTGTGCCTGATGTGATTGCAGGATGCTCCAGTGTTTTCTGCTCTGTGCCTGATGGGAGTCAGTGAGAGGCTGAGAGCTTTAGCTGAATGGGATCGTTTCTTAATCCTCACCTCAACCCTGGGGTTCCTAAGTAGCCTATTAATAGGAGGCCTTGTCTCTGGTCTCTTGCCAGCCAGGTCTCTCTGGCATTGGTAGTACACCCAATTGACTAGAGATGGTGTTATGCTGTAGATGGTGAAATAGTCTAATTCCCAAAAATTGGATTGGTTAATTTCCATGGTCATTTTCAGCAGATAGCTATCCCATTTGCATTTATTCGATTTGCCGCTCGCAGGATGGTGTTTTCCATCCTGGGTTGGTGGAATCCTCCAAGGCTGATCTCATAGTTGCAGGTTCTATAGTGCTGTTAGTTCCTCCAAGGCTGATCTCATAGTTGCAGGTTCTATAGTGCTGTTAGTTCCTCCAAGGCTGATCTCATAGTTGCAGGTTCTATAGTGCTGTTAGTTCCTCCAAGGCTGATCTCATAGTTGCAGGTTCTATAGTGCTGTTAGTTCCTCCAAGGCTGATCTCATAGTTGCAGGTTCTATAGTGCTGTTAGTTCCTCCACGGCTGATCTCATAGTTGCAGGTTCTATAGTGCTGTTAGTTCCTCCAAGGCTGATCTCATAGTTGCAGGTTCTATAGTGCTGTTAGTTCCTCCAAGGCTGATCTCATAGTTGCAGGTTCTATAGTGCTGTTAGTTCCTCCAAGGCTGATCTCATAGTTGCAGGTTCTATAGTGCTGTTAGTTCCCCCAAGGCTGATCTCATAGTTGCAGGTTCTATAGTGCTGTTAGTTCCTCCACGGCTGATCTCATAGTTGCAGGTTCTATAGTGCTGTTAGTTCCTCCACAGCTGATCTCATAGTTGCAGGTTCTATAGTGCTGTTAGTTCCTCCAAGGCTGATCTCATAGTTGCAGGTTCTATAGTGCTGTTAGTTCCTCCAAGGCTGATCTCATAGTTGCAGGTTCTATAGTGCTGTTAGTTCCCCCAAGGCTGATCTCATAGTTGCAGGTTCTATAGTGCTGTTAGTTCCTCCACGGCTGATCTCATAGTTGCAGGTTCTATAGTGCTGTTAGTTCCTCCACAGCTGATCTCATAGTTGCAGGTTCTATAGTGCTGTTAGTTCCTCCAAGGCTGATCTCATAGTTGCAGGTTCTATAGTGCTTTTAGTTCCTCCAAGGCTGATCTCATAGTTGCAGGTTCTATAGTGCTGTTAGTTCCTCCAAGGCTGATCTCATAGTTGCAGGTTCTATAGTGCTGTTAGTCACCTAGAAAGGATAGGAAAAGGTTAGTGAATTTGACTGTCAGCCTTGTAAGCCATCAACCATGTGTAAAAACAACCAGCAGACAGACTGACTGCTTCTGTTGCTGCCTCTATGCTGCCAGGACATGCCTCAGACTGCTGCCAGGTCACAGCTGAAATCATGGATGTCTGCTAGAGGGAAAATGTACTGTAAGCTGTTCATAGGACGATAACTGGCTAACTTCTCACCAGTACCTAGTAGGGCTGGGAATTGCCAGGGACCTCACAATACGATATTATCACGATGCTTTGGTGCCGATGCGATATGTATTACAATTCTCACCATTCTATATGTATTGCTATTCGATACTGCAATTTTATTATGATTCGATGTTCCAAACATATTGCTCACCATATGTCTGCTGCAGAGGGACAACCCCCCACTCCTCTCCAGTACCTAACCCTCCTCTCCAGTACCTAACCTAACCCCCCACTCCTCTCCACTACCTAACCCACCCCCCCAATTCCTCTCCAGTACCTAACCCCCAACTCCTCTCCAGTACCTAACCCTCCTCTCCAGTACCTAACCCCCCACTCCTCTCTAGTACCTAACCCCCCACTCCTCTCAGCACCTAACCCCCCACTCCTCTTCAGTACCTAACCCCCCACTCCTCTCCAGTACCTAACCTAACCCCCCACTCCTCTCCAGTACCTAGCCTAACCCCCCACTCCTCTCCAGTACCTAACCCCCCACTCCTCTCCAGTACCTAACCCCCCACTCCTCTCCAGTACCTAACCTAACCCCCCACTCCTCTTCAGTACCAAACCCCCCACTCCTCTCCTCCAGTACCTAGCCTAACCCCCCACTCCTCTCCAGTACCTAACCTAACCCCCACTCCTTTCCAGTACCTAACCTAACCCCCCACTCCTCTCCAGTACCTAACCTAACCCCCCAATCCTCTCCAGTACCAAACCTAACCCCCCACTCATCTCCAGTACCTAACCTAACCCCCCACTCCTCTCCAGTACCTAACCCCCCCACTCCTCTCCAGTACCTAACCTAACCCCCCACTCATCTCCAGTACCTAACCTAACCCCCCACTCATCTCCAGTACCTAACCTAACCCCCCCCACTCCTCTCCAGTACCTAACCTAACCCCCCACTCATCTCCAGTACCTAACCTAACCCCCCACTCATCTCCAGTACCTAACCTAACCCCCCACTCATCTCCAGTACCTAACCTAACCCCCCCACTCCTCTCCAGTACCTAACCTAACCCCCCACTCATCTCCAGTACCTAACCTAACCCCCCACTCATCTCCAGTACCTAACCTAACCCCCCACTCCTCTCCAGTACCTAACCCCCCCTCTCCTCTCCAGTACCTAACCTAACCCCCCCACTCCTCTCCAGTACCTAACCTAACCCCCACTCCTCTCCAGTACCTAACCCACCCTCTCCTCTCCAGTACCTAACCTAACCCCCCACTCCTCTCCAGTACCTAACCTAACCCCCCACTCCTCTCCAGTACCTAACCACCCTCTCCTCTCCAGTACCTAACCCACCCTCTCCTCTCCAGTACCTAACCTAACCCCCCACTCCTCTCCAGTACCTAACCTAACCCCCCACTCCTCTCCAGTACCTAACCTAACCCCCCACTCCTCTCCAGTACCTAACCCACCCTCTCCTCTCCAGTACCTAACCTAACCCCCCACTCCTCTCCAGTACCTAACCTAACCCCCCACTCCTCTCCAGTACCTAACCTAACCCCCCACTCCTCTCCAGTACCTAACCTAACCCCCCACTCCTCTCCAGTACCTAACCTAACCCCCCACGTGACTTGACCTACTGATGTAGAAATAGAAGCAGCCAACAACACCATGTTTTGGACTCCTCCCACTGTAAGAGATGTCTCAGCAGTGTTTTGGACTCCTCCCACTGTAAGAGATGTCTCAGCAGTGTTTTGGACTCCTCCCACTGTAAGAGATGTCTCAGCAGTGTTTTGGACTCCTCCCACTGTAAGAGATGTCTCAGCAGTGTTTTGGACTCCTCCCACTGTAAGAGATGTCTCAGCAGTGTTTTGGACTCCTCCCACTGTAAGAGATGTCTCAGCAGTGTTTTGGACTCCTCCCACTGTAAGAGATGTCTCAGCAGTGTTTTGGACTCCTCCCACTGTAAGAGATGTCTCAGCAGTGTTTTGGACTCCTCCCACTGTAAGAGATGTCTCAGCAGTGTTTTGGACTCCTCCCACTGTAAGAGATGTCTCAGCAGTGTTTTGGACTCCTCCCACTGTAAGAGATGTCTCAGCAGTGTTTTGGACTCCTCCCACTGTAAGAGATGTCTCAGCAGTGTTTTGGACTCCTCCCACTGTAAGAGATGTCTCAGCAGTGTTTTGGACTCCTCCCACTGTAAGAGATGTCTCAGCAGTGTTTTGGACTCCTCCCACTGTAAGAGATGTCTCAGCAGTGTTTTGGACTCCTCCCACTGTAAGAGATGTCTCAGCAGTGTTTTGGACTCCTCCCACTGTAAGAGATGTCTCAGCAGTGTTTTGGACTCCTCCCACTGTAAGAGATGTCTCAGCAGTGTTTTGGACTCCTCCCACTGTAAGAGATGTCTCAGCAGTGTTTTGGACTCCTCCCACTGTAAGAGATGTCTCAGCAGTGTTTTGGGTCAACAATGAGACCAGTGCTTAAGATGACAGCTCCTGGGTTTTATCAGACAGGGTCTATATCGGTTAATCACAGTTATGTTGAGACAGACATTGTGTATTACTGTATTGATGTAAGTGTACTGCATTCAAACAAATCTCTTCTCTTTACAGGTTCTGATCTGGCCTTCCCTGCAGCTGTGGTCGATGACGTAATCTGCAGCAAGACCTTCCAGATCCTCTATAAGAACGAGGAGGTGGTGGTCAATGATGTGCTGGTGTTCAAAATCATGATGCTGCTGGATGAGAAGAAGGTAAGGAAGTTACACTGTAGGCTAATACAAGGAAGCTAGACTGTAGCCTAGGACAAAGAAGCTAGACTGTAGCCTAAGACAAGGAAGCTAGACTGTAGGCTAAGACAAGGAAGCTAGACTGTAGCCTAAGACAAGGAAGCTAGACTGTAGGCTAAGACAAGGAAGCTAGACTGTAGCCTAAGACAAGGAAGCTAGACTGTAGGCTAAGACAAGGAAGCTAGACTGTAGCCTAAGACAAGGAAGCTAGACTGTAGGCTAAGACAAGGAAGCTAGACTGTAGCCTAAGACAAGGAAGCTAGACTGTAGGCTAATACAAGGAAGCTAGACTGTAGGCTAATACAAGGAAGCTAGACTGTAGCCTAAGACAAGGAAGCTAGACTGTAGCTAATACAGGAAGCTAGACTGTATGCTAATACAAGGAAGCTAGACTGTAGCCTAAGACAAGGAAGCTAGACTGTAAGCCTAAGACAGGGAACTAGACTGTAGCCAAAGAAAATGAGCAGCTGTACCTAAGAAAAGGGAAAGAGGTACCCAAAGAAAAGGCCCTTAGACTGTGGGCTAAGAAAAGGGAAAGCTAACTGTAGGCAAAGAAAAGGAAGCTAACGTGGCCAAAGAAAGGGAAAAGGAGACTGTAGCCTAAGACAGGAAGCTGACTGTAGGCTAAAAAAAGGGAACTAGACTGTAGGCTAAGCAGGAGCTAACTGTAGGCAAAGAAAAAGGAAGCTAACTGTAGGCTAAGAAAAGAAGATGACTGTGGCTTAAAAGGGAAGCTGACTGTAGCTATACAGGAAGCTAACTGTGGGCTAACAAGGAAGCTAACTGACCTAAACAAGGAGCTGACTGTAGCCTAAACAAAAAAGCTAGACTGTGGCTAAGACAAGGAAACTAGACGTGGCTAAACAAAGCTAGCTTGGCCCCTAAGAAAGGGAACTAACTTAGGCAAAACAAAGCAGACTTGGGGCTAAACAAGGAAATAGACTGTACCAAAGAAAGGAAGCTAGACTGTGGGCAAAGACAAGGAAGCAGACTTAGGCTAAGAAAAGGGAAACTAGCGTGGGCTAAAAAAGGAAAGCTAGACTGTAGGCAAAGAAAAGGGAAAAAACTGTGGCTAATAAAAGGGAAGCTAGCTGTAGGCTAATAAAAGGAACAAACTGTAGGCTATACAAAAAGCTAGACTGTACCAAAGCCCAGGAACTAACGTAGCCTAAGACAAGGAAGCTAGACTGTGGCAAAGCAAGGAACAAACTGTAGGCTAAAAAAGGGAAGCAACGGTACTAAGAAAAGGGAAGCTGACTGTAGGCTAAAAAAGGACTAACTGTGGGCAAAGAAAAGGAAGATAACTGAAAGGCTAATACAGGAGCTAGACTGTAGCCAAATACAAGGAGCTAGACGTAGGAAATAAAAGGGAAAGCAGACTGTAGCCTAAAAAAGGGAAAAGCTAGACTGTAGGCTAAGACAAGGAAGCTAGACTGTAGGCTAAGACCGTGACCAATGACCAAGTTGTCGTTGTGATGGTTAGAATCAGTTCTGCTATAGAGGGCAATAGGCTGACCTTCACTGAGGCTCTGGCTAGCCTATGTTCAAATGTCCACACTAGCATACTACTTACAATGCCCCATACATTGCTTCATACTAAGTGAGCTTGAGCTGCACTGCAGTTTTCCATATGATTGGCCAATTAGATGCAGGCTATTTAGCCTAGATTTATTTAGCCTTAGTGTAGCCAATTTAGCCTAATGTCTCACATGGATATTGTTCAGAATTGCATCTTCTAAAATAAATACGTGGTATGATGGTATGGATATAGGAAGAGAGCCTCTTGATATGTATTTTCCAGGCTGAAGTGATTTGTGTTCCCTCTGAGTTCTCTCCCTCCATACTAACGTACCACTACGAATGCATGCCCAGTACTGCACATTGCTTCATACTACATAGTATGCTAGCGAATGGTGCTCTTGGGTTGTTGTGATGGTGGAAATCAGTTCCTCTGTAGAAGGGAAATAGGCTCACTTTCATTCTCACTCACTCACTGTTTTTTCACACTGTAATAATTGTTTACCCTGTCTGTTCCTGTCCCTCTTAAGGTAGAAGAATCCCTCAATGACATGGACTTCCAGCTCTCCCTGGAGTTGTACTTCACAGATGGAGACTTCTCGTACGTTTCATCATGGCCCAACACTTTGCTACTCATGCTGTTATCAGATCTTATTCTAACACCATTTGATTTTAAAAAAAACATTTTAGTCATTTAGCAGACGCTCTTATCCAGAGCGACTTACAGTTAGTGAGTGTATACATTTTCATACTGGCCCCTCGTGGGAATCGAACCCACAACCCTGGCGTTGCAAACGCCATGCTCTACCAACTGAGCTACACGGAAATCTCTTAGATACTGTACTTAAAGCGTTTTCTTTAGCCTGCCTAGAAAGCCAGATGGATGGGTGTTGAAGGTTTGCGACTATTGCACCAGGCATACTTGAAATTCTTCAAGTAGTACTTTAACCCAGGTCTGGCTATTTTTAGATAAAGATTGTTTTTGAATCGCTGTCATGGTGTCCTTAATAAAACCTGCCTGCCATTTTTAGACCCGTTTGATGGTGCATGTTTATAGTGTCGGGCATGTCCAGTACAGCAGGGAATTTCAAGGAGTGGAATCGTTCTTGTGACTTATCTGTGTAATTACTGTACTTTGCCCGTCTTGTCAGTTTAGTTCAACTTTGTTTATCCCCTCTGTGGTGATTATTAATACAATATTATTATTAATACAATATCCAAATGTTTTCCAATACATTAGATGGAAACATTGCATGCAGTTTGTTATATTCGTTATATTTATATATGAATACATTTGTCTATTGTATGATTTGAATTTCTCCGAAAACGTTCTTTCCCACTAGGCCCGAGGAGCTTAGCTCCCTGCAGAACATCAGCAGTCGGTCCCTCCGCTTGCACTTTAGCCTGAACAGAGGCATCCACCAACACATCAATATCATGTTCGACTACTTCCACCTGTCTGTCGTCTCTATGGCCGTCCACGCATCCCTGGTCCCCCCCCCTGCACAACCCCCTCCCCCCCATAACAAAACCACACACCCCCACCCCCCCTAAAAACACACACCCAACACACCCCAAAAACCCCCCCTCCCCCCCCCCTGACCCCCCCAACCCCCCCACACACCCCCCCCAAAAACACCCACACCCCAAACCCCCAAATAACCCCCCCCCACCCCAACCCCCCCCCCCAAAAAAAACCCCCCCCCCCCAAACCCTTGCACCCATGTTTATCATGAGTCCCAGATCCGTACTCACGTTTTCTTTCAAGATGATGTTGTTGAACAATATTGTTAGTATACTATCCGTTGGCATTTAGTAACAGATTTTTATCTTTTTTTCAAGGTGATGAAATTCATTTCCATGGATGAGGATTATCCGAACTTCTTTTCGTGCATTACTGAACTGCTGTAATTACTGGACTTGCCCGCTGTCATTTATTCAACTTTGTATCCCTGTCGTCTATGAAATACAGTCAATACTAAAATACATCATAATCCACAAACGTTTCCTAAACACTACCTGGCAAACACAGCATGTACATCGTAATTTACAACTGACAACATCCCCTAAAACAATCATCCCGAAAACTCCTCCACACTAGCCCACGACACCCCCCCTGACCACAGCAAATCGGTCCCCCGCTGCATTTACACTAACAGAGCACCACAACACACCATACATGTCACTACTCCACCCCCTCAAACCGTCCACACACCCTTCGCCCGCACCACACTACACAGACACACAACACACACACCCACGACACCCCCACTAACACACACACACACACACACACACACTGAACACACACCCACACACACACACACACACACACCACAACACACCACACACACACACACACCTACACACCACACACACTAACCACACACACACTCACCACACCCACTAACACACACCACACCACCACTACACGACACACACCACTACCACACACCACACACCACACAACACACACATGACACACACCACACTACACACCACACAACCACACAACTAAACACCACCACACACACCCCACACACCACTAACACACACACACACTGACACACCCACTACACACACAACACACACACACCCACACCACCACAACACACACTAACACACACCACACCACAACACACACACTACACACCCACACACCCACAACACACACACACTCACACCACACACCCCAACACACACACACACCACTCCACACCACACACTACACACCCACTAACCCACACCACTCCCACCCCTAACACCACACCCACCACCACATCACACACACCCTAACACCACACACACCACCCCACTACACACACACAACACACCCCCCACTACACACCCACTCACAACACCACTAACACCTCACACACACACACCCACACCACCCAACTCACACCCTACACACCCCACACCCCCCTAACACTCACACACACCACAAACCCCACCCACTACCCCACACTCACCACACACCCCTACCACCCTCCACCACCCACACACTCACCCCCCCACACCACACACCCACACACACCACCCCACACCCCACACCACACACACCCACCCACACACACCACCCACACACACACCACAACACACCACCACCCACACCACACCCCCACACCACCCACACACCACACACCACACAACACCACACCACCCACACCCACACACCCCACACACACACACCCACACACACACTACCCCACACACACCCCACACACACACACACACACACACACCCACAACCCCCCACCCCCTGTCAGTCATCTCTAAGGCCTTCCACTGGTCGCCCTGCACCATCCCCTCATCAGGTAGTGCACGCAATGTTTATCAGTGGTCGAAAGTAGTACACTATATAGGGAATAGGGTGTGACTTGGGACTGACTTGGACTAAACTATAGTTTTGTTAGATTTGGATATACAGTGGGGAAAAAAAGTATTTAGTCAGCCACCAATTGTGCAAGTTCTCCCACTTAAAAAGATGAGAGAGGCCTGTAATTTTCATCATAGGTACACGTCAACTATGACAGACAAATTGAGAAAAAAAAATCCAGAAAATCACATTGTAGGATTTTTATTGAATTTATTTGCAAATTATGGTGGAAAATAAGTATTTGGTCACCTACAAACAAGCAAGATTTCTGGCTCTCACAGACCTGTAACTTCTTCTTTAAGAGGCTCCTCTGTCCTCCACTCGTTACCTGTATTAATGGCACCTGTTTGAACTTGTTATCAGTATAAAAGACACCTGTCCACAACCTCAAACAGTCACACTCCAAACTCCACTATGGCCAAGACCAAAGAGCTGTCAAAGGACACCAGAAACAAAATTGTAGACCTGCACCAGGCTGGGAAGACTTAATCTGCAATAGGTAAGCAGCTTGGTTTGAAGAAATCAACTGTGGGAGCAATTATTAGGAAATGGAAGACATACAAGACCACTGATAATCTCCCTCAATCTGGGGCTCCACGCAAGATCTCACCCCGTGGGGTCAAAATGATCACAAGAACGGTGAGCAAAAATCCCAGAACCACACGGGGGGACCTAGTGAATGACCTGCAGAGAGCTGGGACCAAAGTAACAAAGCCTACCATCAGTAACACACTACGCCGCCAGGGACGCAAATCCTGCAGTGGCAGACGTGTCCCCCTGCTTAAGCCAGTACATGTCCAGGCCCGTCTGAAGTTTGCTAGAGTGCATTTGGATGATCCAGAAGAGGATTGGGAGAATATCATATGGTCAGATGAAACCAAAATATAACTTTTTGGTAAAAACTCAACTTGTCTTGTTTGGAGGACAAAGAATGCTGAGTTGCATCCAAAGAACACCATACCTACTGTGAAGCATGGGGGTGGAAACATCATGCTTTGGGGCTGTTTTTCTGCAAAGGGACCAGGACGACTGATCCGTGTAAAGGAAAGAATGAATGGGGCCATGTATCGTGAGATTTTGAGTGAAAACCTCCTTCCATCAGCAAGGGCATTGAAGATGAAACGTGGCTGGGTCTTTCAGCATGACAATGATCCCAAACACACCGCCCGGGCAACGAAGGAGTGGCTTCGTAAGAAGCATTTCAAGGTCCTGGAGTGGCCTAGCCAGTCTCCAGGTCTCAACCCCATAGAAAATCTTTGGAGGGAGTTGAAAGTCTGTGTTGCCCAGTGACAGCCCCAAAACATCATTGCTCTAGAGGAGATCTGCATGGAGGAATGGGCCAAAATAACAGCAACAGTGTGTGAAAACCTTGTGAAGACTTACAGAAAACGTTTGACCTGTGTCATTGCCAACAAAGGGTATATAACAAAGTATTGAGAAACTTTTGTTATTGACCAAATACTTATTTTCCACCATAATTTGCAAATAAATTCATAAAAAATCCTACAATGTGATTTTCTGGATTTCTTTTCCTCATTTTGTCTGTCATAGTTGACGTGTACCTATGATGAAAATTACAGGCCTCTCTCATCTTTTTAAGTGGGAGAACTTGCACAATTGGTGGCTGACTAAATACTTTTTTCCCCCACTGTATCATCACTGATAACATATCACTACACTATATTTTGTTCCAACCTACAGTTCAGACTGTGTCTCCAGTGCAGTATAACTGAAACGTGTTGACCAGTAAGGCCTGTTTCCTTAATGGCCGTATGTCTTTTCTAGTTTCCCCCGGCCAGTGAAGAGTACATGGCTGAACCGCAACGCCCCCCAGCAGAGTAAAGACTCCATCATCCCAGCCCTGGAGAATGTGGTGTTTGGAACCAGCTATGTCAAACAGCTGTCTCCTGATGTAAGTATAGATTAAGCCTTAGGGCTGTCCTCGACTAAAAACAATCTTGGTCGAACGAGAGTCGTCTGTTCTGAAATGTGTATTTTTCCATTTATAGACACACCCTATGTGTTTTAATAAAATCAACTCCATGTATTGAGCTTGTCTGATGCTTTAAGTGCAACATTATTCTTTCCACATATTGTTACGTTACGGCCTTATTCTAAAATGGATTAAATGAATTGTTTTCCTCATCAATCTACACATAATACCCTGCAACGACAAAGCAAAAACAGCTTTTTAGAACTTTTTGCACATTTATACAAAATAAAGAACAGGAATACCTTATTTACATAAGTACTCCTAATTCCGGGTATCTTCCAACCGTGATTTCTGTATTTTTCAACCCTTAGTCTGCTGCTAATGACTTATCTAAGTGACTGTTCTGCAGCCAGGGACAAGCTGTGCTTTCTGAAGACTGGAAGGTACAGGGCAGAAGATGGGATTGAGGAAGGAAAGCAAGTTGTGGGAGGAGAGGTTATTGACCGATAAGATGGGGAAGAAGAAGTGCTACTAGAAGCCATTAGTGAGAGATGTTTGATTTTAGCTGGAGGCCTAGGAGTAATTGGTTGGTGATAACATGGACATGGAGAAGGGTAGATGGGTTGATGCCTGAATGCAACAGGCTCACTGAAATGGAATGCTAGAGGCAATGCTTAGTCCCCTCATCACTCTTAGATACATGCTACCAGTCCTACTGGGGAAGCTCAGCACACACACACACACACACACACACACACACACACACACACACACACACACACACACACACACACACACACACACATACACATACACATACACACACACACACACACACACACACACACACACACACACACACACACACACACATACACACACATACACACACATACACACACACACACACACACACACACACACACACAGTTCAGAAAGCAGTGAAATCCATCGACCTCTTCTCATCATTCCATAACAGCCTCCTCCTTAGTAATGGCTTTCCAGTCAGTGGTACCATACAGGTTATTGCACATCAAATTAATTGCAGGCGATAAATGGAAGGGATAAGGTTATATGCATATTTTATATGTTGAGTTTTGCCAAATGACAGGCCTGATAAGATGCTTGTCTTTGAGTGATGTATTTGGGGATTTCTCCAGATATAAAAGTTAGCTAGCCTAGTGTGCTTGTGCTGCTTGTAGAAAAGGCTTGTATTTACCAAGCTAGCTAGTTC